GGGGGGGGGGAGTGTGGCATGGCAAAGGCAGAGCACCTCCGCGGGGCCGGAGCCCGGGCAGGCTTTCCCCAGGTGGGGCTGAGGAGAGCATAGGGTGAGCACGTGCTTCTCCCCCGAGAGGAGAGTTCCTCCTTTCCTTGGGGGGATGTCACGTAAAAGGACTGCTGGAGAAGCCAGCGGGGAGGAGGGAGGCCTCTTCCACTTGAGCCTGGGGCAGCGGAAAGTATTTGTAAGGGTTAAGGGAATTCTGTGGGAGGGCCGTTGCCTCCGTGGTTGGTGTGGGCTAGAAGGCTCGAAGGCTACAGGTCTGGCTGCTTTGGAGAACGGGCATTCACGAGTCCCACAGAGAATGGAAGGTGCTGAGGATTTTACTGGCAGACCCGCTGGTTGAGGGGATGGATTCTGGGGTCTGGGCTGAAAGAGGGAGTGAGAATATGAGTGTAGGAGCCCCTGATGGAAGAAAGCGGGCCTCTGGGGGGATGAGGACAGGATGGGGCGCACTTGCTAGTGGCCGTGGTGGGTAGGTGGCTGCACTGGGGTGGGGGGAGCTGAGGTGATGAGGTTCTTAGGCCTGGGAGGTGGGGTAGAGTCACTGGGGCACCAGAGACCGAGCCAGAGGCCTGCGTTCCTACTGAAGTCAGAGGAGGCTGCCTTTTTGCCTAAGGGAGGCGGCGTACCCGATGGTCACAAAGCATCACTGGAGAGCGCAGCCAGCCCCAGACCCTGAGCTGTCATTGAGACTTGGGTGGTGGTGAGGATCCCACCCTCTGAGAGTCTTGGAGGGCAAGTGTGCCCTTCAGGGCAGAGAAGAGGAGGGACGATTCTGGGCTGGGGCTTGAGGACAGAAGGGCCCTTGTTTACTGTCCGGTGGGGTCTGGAAGATGCAGGGAACAGGGAAGGGCTCGGAGAGCCCCTGCGGTGTGGGTGCGCCCTTCTGTGGGGCGGGGGCTCCACCCTGGGGCTACAGGCTGTGTGTGTGTCACCAGCTCACGGAGGGGAAGATGATGGAGCGCAGGAAGAAGATCGCCCTGGAGCTCTCCGAGCTGGTTGTCTACTGTCGGCCCGTTCCCTTCGATGAAGAGAGTAAGGGCCGAGGTCCCGGCGGGGTGGGTTTGGGTGCCCTCCCGGGCAGGTGGAAGACGGAGGAGCATTTCGTCCCTTTATATGGGGGTTGGCGGAGCCGCCTGGGTGGGCCGGCTCGGTAAGCATTCTCCGTTTGGCCCAGAGATTGGCACGGAACGTGCCTGCTACCGGGACATGTCGTCCTTTCCGGAGACGAAGGCGGAGAAATACGTGAACAAGGCCAAAGGCAAGAAGTTCCTCCAGTACAACCGGCTGCAGCTCTCCCGCATCTACCCCAAGGGCCAGCGGCTGGACTCCTCCAACTACGACCCCTTGCCCATGTGGATCTGCGGCAGTCAGCTCGTGGCCCTCAACTTCCAGACCCCAGGTGAGGAGCTGCCCTGTGGGGCGGGGAGGGGGCTCTGCTGGGCTGTGGGGCTGGAGCCCACCGGAACCGGCTCTTCCAGACAAGCCTATGCAGATGAACCAGGCCCTCTTCATGGCCGGCGGCCACTGCGGCTACGTGCTGCAGCCGAGCACCATGCGGGACGAGGCCTTTGATCCCTTTGACAAGAGCAGCCTCCGAGGTCTGGAGCCATGTGCCATCTGCATTGAGGTGCGTGCTGCTCACCTATGGGCTTCAGGGTGGGTGGCAGTTGCTCTGCCGGGGCCCCTTTACACAGAGTCAAGGATAGGGTGTCCGTGTGACGGGTGGGGGGCGCACTGGACTGTTTCTGAGCTGGAGGAAGGCATGACCGTCCTCAGGCAGGAAGGCAGCTGCTGGCCTCCATTGTGGGGCCGGGCCCAGAGTGGTAAAGGCCCGCTCGGTTGCGAAATCACTGGAGTCAGGCTGTCCACTGAGGGCTCAGCTGCCCCCCAGCTCTGTTTGAGAACCAGCCCTGAGCCACTAGGGGCGGTGGGGGGCAGCCCGTGCTGTGGGCTTCGGGTCGGGTGGGGCTGAGGAGAGCATAGGGTGAGCACGTGCTTCTCCCCCGAGAGGAGAGTTCCTCCTTTCCTTGGGGGGATGTCACGTAAAAGATGTCCATGTTAGGGGCGCCTGGGTGGCTCAGTTGGTTAAATGACTGTCTTCGGCTCAGGTCATGATCCTGGAGTCCCGGGATCGAGTCCCGCGTCGGGCTCCCTGCTCAGCAAGGAACCTGCTTCTCCCTCTGACCCTCCCCCCTCTCGTGCTTTCTCTCTCTATCTCATTCTCTCTCTCAAATAAATAAATAAAAAATCTTTGGGAAAAAAAAAAGTCCACGTTAGAACAGACATGGATTTAATGAGGTAGATGCAAAAACTCCCGTGAAAGTGGCGGCTAAAGCGGAGATTTCCAGCGCCACCGCTCCCAGGGCCCTGATGCGGGGAGCCATTTAGTGGGCCGCCTCCTTGGGGCCCAGCAGAGGGCGCACTGCCTACACTGCATAGTGAGGCCTGGGAAGGCGCCGAAGGGACCATCCCCGGCCCATCTTGGCCTGCCTTCCAGGTGCTGGGGGCCCGGCACCTGCCAAAGAACGGCCGAGGCATCGTGTGTCCTTTTGTGGAGATTGAGGTGGCCGGAGCAGAGTATGACAGCGTCAAGCAGAAGACAGAGTTTGTGGGTAGGTCTGCCCTCCCTACTCGCCATGCCCCGAAGGCCCGTCCATACTCCACACCAGCGACTCTTGTCCTCTCGAGGCAGTGGCCTGAGGCCTTTTGCCCTGACTTTCGCAGTGGACAATGGACTGAACCCTGTGTGGCCTGCCAAGCCCTTCCACTTCCAGATCAGCAACCCGGAATTCGCCTTTCTGCGCTTTGTGGTGTATGAGGAAGACATGTTCAGTGACCAGAACTTCCTGGCTCAGGCTACCTTCCCAGTGAAAGGCCTGAAGACAGGTGAGGAGCCTTCGTAGAGACAGCGCCTGGGGCCTACCTAGGGGTGTGGGGGCCGTGGGGGGCGGGCCCCCTGTTCGGCTCCCTCCCAGGCTGAGGGCGCGGCCTTCCTCCTCCTAGGATACAGAGCTGTGCCTTTGAAGAACAACTACAGCGAGGACCTGGAGCTGGCCTCCCTGCTCATCAAGATCGATGTTTTCCCTGCCAAGGTAACTGCAGCGCAGGCGGGGGGGCCGGCGGGCTGCAGCCTCACAAGGCCCCCGGGGGAGGCACTGACCCCACGCGCCCTGCCCTTGTTGAAGCAGGAGAACGGGGACCTCAGTCCCTTCAGTATGTCTCTGCGGGAGCGGGGCTCCGATGCCTCGGGCCAGCTCTTTCACGGCCGGGCCCGGGAAGGTTCCTTCGAAGCCCGCTACCAGCAGCCGTTTGAGGACTTCCGTATCTCCCACGAGCATCTGGCAGACCAGTCTGACAGTCGGGAACGGAGGTGCGGGGATGGAGGGTGGGTGGCATACCGGGGAGATGGGAAGGAGAGCTTGCGGCCCCTTCTGTGTCCTTCTCTTGCTCCTGGGGAGGACTTACCTTGTCTGGCTTTCCTTGCCTTGGGCTGTCCCACTGGGCTGCGAGGCCCCACTGCCAGTAGGGACGCGCTCTCCTTCCGTCCAGGGCCCCACGTCGGACTCGGGTCAACGGAGACAACCGCCTCTAGCTGTTCGCCAGCCCCGTGGAGAGCAGCAGGCGCCGCGTGCCTCGTGGAGCGCCGCGAGCTGGGTTCCTGGGACGCGGCCTGCCGTGGCGGCCGTCCTGGCCCTGAGGCCTGGAGCTGGGTTCCAGCAGTGACTGCTAGACAAACCAAGCCACTGATGAGTTGTAGTACTGTTTGGGGCCTCCATGCCCCAGCTCTGGGTGAAGGCGAAACCCGTACTGTGACTCGAATTAATTAAGCACACACATCTGGTCCTGCCTTCTGGGGGTGGAGCCTTTCGTCCGTGGGGCCAGGACCGTGGCAGTAGCCTCTTGGGGACAGAGGCTGCCTCGGCCCGCTGCACGGGCGGCTCGGAGGAACCGCTGACCTTGCCGAGAGAGCCGCAGCGGCCTCGCTGGGCCAGGGAAGCAGCCCCGAGTTTACATCGTCCTGGAGCTTCACAACCCCAGCTGGGAAGGGGTGAGGGTCGCTGGCCACTGGCCGCAGAGCCAGGGCGGGCAGCACAGGACCCGCCTGGAGAGGGGCTCCGCCAGCTCGAGGAAGAGGACACAGCACAAGGGCACACTGCCCGCGGCCGGGAACACCACCCAGCCCGCAAGATACTTGGGATCGCGTCAGACGCAGCCGCGGCGGGCGGCCCGGGCTGCCGTGGGCCCCCGGGTGAGGGGCCACCTGGAGGATGGCCGGCAGCACCTCAGGACCTTGGGGGAGGAGGGGGAGGACCCGGACGCCCTGCGCTGCCACGGGCTACACCGCCTGCCTGCTGCCCGAAGCCGGGGGGGCGGTGGGCAGCCCAAGGCAGGTGCTCTGGATGCAAACCTGGAGTCGGGACCCGCTCACCGGGGCGCCGGAGTTTGCGGACGTGCTGGCCCAGCCGCACCGCCCCTCCTGCCCCACGGTCAGCTGTGGCGCGCCTCGCACTCACGCAGGGGCCACGGCCAGGCTGGAGGTCTAACGGCCGGAGCGGCAGACTGGAGGCCTTGGTCGGAGACAGGTGCGGCCCAGAGCGGGGCTTTTCCCCAGTACGTTCAGGAAACTGCACACACGGACATGCCTCCTTCAGGGTGCCCTCCAGCAGGCCAGCCAGGGGACCCCCTTCCCCCCCGCCCGGCCCCCTGCCCCGTCCGAGTTCAGACTGAAGACCACTCTCCCTGTTGCAGCAGCAGACCTGGGATCGGAGCCTGCAGACAGCACGGCAGGAGGATGCCGAGATGATCCTGAGTGTTCATTAAACCAGTTCAAAGTCCTGTTACTGGGCATCTGTGATGTTGGAGATGGAAATTTTAAAGGTTATTTTTTGCACACCCCGTTTCTCACTATCTTCATTATTTCACGTAGGGTATGATTTTCTAGGTCTTCCACTTCTAACCGGAAAGCTGCTTGGTGGGGGTGGGGGAGCAAACTGAGCGAACTTGTCTGCACTGTGGCAGAACTGTTATTTTTATGGATTTTACAGCTCAACTAACAGTGTTACCTTTTCAAGATTTATATATTTATATACTCTTAAGAAAAACCACTGAGCCGTTAAAGCCTTGTTATTACTCGATCCTAATAGTGATTCCGTTTTCTGTAGCTTACTTTTAGGGTAGAAGGTAAATTATTTAACGTTCTATTAAACTTTCCATACCATGGATTGTAAACCGAAGGAAATTATACAAATTTCTGAGAAAATGTATTGGTTTATTTAAACTAGTCCCAAAGTTGTCTTTGCAAGTATGACCTCACAGTCTTGTCCACAGCAAACATATCTATATATGGTTGCCAGCATTTGGCTTATAATTTAAATATTAACAAAAATCTTAAATTTTATTGGAAAAGCTTTCCTTCTGAAAAGGACTTAAAAAACATCAGTATTTTTCTTCTCAGTAGGATAGTCATTACATTACCTAGTCCTGCTGCTCCCCTTTGGAGGGAAGCCTTGGGGCAGAACCCAGGGGAGGGGAGGGTCTGGCTGCGACCTGCCCTGTCCTCTGGGGACCAGTAAGGCTGTTGGGAATCGGGTAGGTAGGGATGGGAGGAGAAGAAAGAGCAAAGCCTATTCTGGTGGTCAGGTGGGTTTTGTTTGTTTGAAGGCAAAGACGACTCAGGATGCTCTCCCTTAGGAACGGAAGCAGGTTAAGGAGTTGCCTGCTTTGCAGGGAGCTGCGGGGACAGCTGCTCAGCGGCTGGCTGCTTCTGCCTAGCTAGTGCAGAGATCCCAGAAAGGAGATGGGAAAGGTCGGGAAGGCAGCCCCGCTTTAAAGGACAGAGGCTCGGGTCCCAGCCCGTGGGCACAGAGACACCTCGCGGCGCAGCCAGCACTCAGCACACGCAAGCCTGCTGCCTGCATCTGGGCTTGGGGTGGGCCATTTGCTAGTTGTGCTGGCCTCTTAAGATCGGCCTGCCAAATAAAGCAGCCCCGGGTCCCTTGTTGGGCTCTTGCGGGGGTGCTCAGGAGAGCCGGTTGTCTGGAGACTTGTTAACTGTGGACCATTTGTTGGGTGGTTATTGTGCCGTGGAGGCGGTGGCAGGGGGGCGGGGGGTTGCACAACTTCTAGGTCAAGCAGATCTCCCCTCTGGGCTCCGAGGTGGGGTGAGGCCGCCCTCTTCTCCAGCTCGTCTGCAGAGGGTATGGCAGGGTCAAGTGTGGCCACTGTGAGGGAGCCCGGGTTTCTGTGGCCTGCCAGCCCTGGTGGTGAGTGGGAGGCCACCCAAGTCCCCTCCCAGCCCACAGAAGCCTCTCCTTTCAAAACAACGCAGCATTCAGAAGTAGGGTGAAAAGGCTTCAATAGCCTGCAACCCAATCTCTGTGCCCAGACCTGGTTGAAAAGGCCATGCCCTTACCTTCCCCGTGGTCTATGCCGGTGTAGATCAGAAATGACGCACATACAGTTGCCTGCCTGGTGGATGGGTGGGGACAGGCCTAAAAAGCCAGCCCAGGGAGCCTGAAAAGATCTGTCACTGAAAAGATGCAGGTTAAGTATAATCGGTTGGTTCTTAAAATGGTAATGAGTATACCCCTGGTGTGATAATTCACAGACCACAGAAAGCGTGGAGAGACCAAGATTTTTAAGTCAAGTCCAAGGCTGATGAAGAGTTACAGGTGCCAAGCATCCCTTTCCTGTATGACAAGTCAGACCACAGAGACCTAACAACAGTTCCCAAGTTTACAGGTTGGGGGCCAGTCCTGGTTCACTGTAGGTCCCTCTGAGCACCATCCACTTGGAGAACTGGGACCAGTTTAGAATATTTCTTCTTATCCACTGAGACGGTTTGACAGCTGGTATCAGAGCACCTATTGCTCAGGTTCTTGCTGGCCCCCTGGCTTTCTTCTAGAGCTTCTCTGACCTACTCAAGAGAGGACAGTCCTTTTCCCACAGACAAGGTGGCGGGTGCGAGTTAACCTGGACTTCCCTGAGCCATGTTTTCCTGCTCCAGAGCCCCGTGGCCAGGTGAGAGCTTTTCTAATCTATGGAGGAAGAGGTTCTGTGCGGGTCTTTTCGGTTAGGGGCCGCCTGTCATCATGGCCCAGGCTTGGCTTGTTGGTGTTGACCGTTGTTAATCAGAACGTACGTTCAATCATTTACTGAACAAGTGTCTTTCTGGAGTGTGACTCGGGGAGAGACAGCTCTGAAGTCCTTGCAGCGGCTTCCTAGACCTGAGGCCTGCCTGTCCCCCACCCCACCCCACCCCCTTCCCCTGCAACACTGCCTTTGCCTTTCGTCGCCAATGTCTTGATCTTTCATCCTAGCAGAAAACACGACAACCCTCAGTAATGCAAATGCACAGATCAGTTTCACCTCTCCAGGCCAAACTGACCTCACTGACTGCCCCGGGAGGCCCCACAAGCAGGTGGGGTGAAGGGAGACCCTCACTCAAGCCTGAAGGTTTGGGCCTGTGGTGGGTAGTTGCCTCACCGTGCGAGCAGGCCCTGTGTCTGCTGTGGGGCGGCTTGGGCTGGCACTGCCTCCCACCCACTGGGTCAGGCATCACCTGGGAAGCTTCTGAGAAATACCAGTGCCCGGAGCCCTAACGGCTCTGCCAGCCCTGGTGGTGAGTGGGAGGTGCCCAGGTGAACCGAATGAGTGGGCAGGGTTGAGACCCACCAGTTTGGGCAGAGGACACCCAAAAAAACAGGGCCAGGGAGAGGAAGTCCATGGAACCAGGGGCAAAGACAAGCAGTGGATGGCTCCCTGCAGGGTCCCCTCTCCCGCGGTCTCCAACAGGAACTACTCCTGGCTGGCTGGCAGAGCAGGGACAAGGGGACTGCGCCCCGAGTGGCAGGCCTGGACTTCTCGGCCAGCGGACGCATGCGCACAGCACTACCTGCGAGGCCGGTGGCTGACACCCCTGCAGAGAGAGCAGTCAGGCCGAGCACCCCCCACTCTCGAGGCTGCCTTGTGAGAAGGCAGGAGCGGTTTCTGACCCCAGCCGAGGGCCAGTGCCATTCACGAGGATCTGTGGCCATGAGCAGAGGACACAAGGCCCCTCTCCTGACCGGGCACGTGCTGAACAACACCTGAAGGCTGGGGCTGGTTCAAAACTCACTCGTCTTTCCATTTGAGCCCATCAGCTCCCACCATTGCTGTTCTTTTGAAGGGAGAAACCACTACAAGCAGTATCCGGTTATCCCACCAAACTAGTTCATGGAACAAAATAAGGTCCTGCCTCACATTTCAGTTCAAGAGCTCAAGCCCGGTCTCAGCCTGAGAATCCTCCTCACTGGGTCATTCCTCTGAGAACCCCAGGGGACTCATGCCCAGGAGTCAGGCAGGCCTTCTGTTTCCTGCCTGGAGGCCACCGCAGCTGCCCCATGGAAGCTCACGGCAACCCCCTGCTGACTTCTACTGCCAACTCTGTCCACAGCTGTGTCCCAAGAAACCACCGCCTGAGTCTGCACCCACCCTGGGGGTTCGGCTGGTTGGCTTCCGGGCTCCACACCAGGTTGGTCCAGCTCCCAAGGACTTGCTTTACATTTGACACAAAGCTGCTCTCCCAAGGCTTAAGTTGGCCTCCAGAACGGCCAAGCCAGGGAGGGACAGGCCCTGGTGTCCACCTGGGACGAGAACTGCCTTGGTATGTCTCTGCCCCAGGTGATATTTGTGGGCTCCCTTTTTCCTGTCACAGGCCCTCAGGGTCACCCCCAACAAGATGCAATTGCTCTGAATCTTAGAAATGAGGCTTTTAACGTTCCTTCGAGGCTCCTGGGTCCTTACGCATATTCGCCAGCCCCTCCTTAGCGAACAGGACAAGCTCTGCTTCTGAGTACTCTTCTCATGGGGCAAAAGGGGGAAAGAAAAGGACTTGCCAGCATCCTCTTACCAGACACCTGAGGACTCCAGGTCTGACTCCTCTGCCCTTGTCTGTGGAGTGTAATTCCTAAAAACATCACGGTTCCATCACATAGAAGCCAGTCCCGTGGACCCAGCAGTGGAACTTTTCCTGAAGTGGGCCAAGGGGAATGGCCTTGCTCATCCATCCACGTTTAAGGTTCGGGCTTGCCCACTAAATAAATCCGCAGATGTGAAGTGTTTTTAGTTTTTCGGGATCCCCCACAAAATAAAGTCCGCAGATGTGAAATGTATTTATGTTTTTATTTAGGAACAATCAAAAGATTTGAAGTACCATTTCGGCCCATATCAAATTGTATAAGCAGTTTGGCCCTGCTCCCTCATCCAAATCCACAGATACAAAATCTAGGAAATGTGCAATTTGCATTTTAGAAATAGCAGCATCCCCACAGGGGACCTCATTAGGCCTGGAGACTCAGCCCAGAGAGGGCAGCCCACTCCACCGCCTCGGCACAGCCACGGTCCAAAGGCAAGTTACATCTTTCTGTTAAAAACACTTACTCCTGGGTAAAGAATTCCCATCCCACCCAGGCCTGACCCACAGAGTATGCCCCTCGGTTTGGTCTCACACCTGGCGGCCGCAGGGGGTAGGGACCCTCTTGTATAGTTCGGTAAAGTCTCCATTTGCCTCTGGACAAACAGGGCAGTTGCCTCTTAGCACCAAGATGATCCTGTCTTTCCAGCGTCTCTGGGAGAGAGGCGGCGCCCCAGGGCAAACTGCTCGCCAGCCATTCCGGGCCCTCCCGTGGCCCCGAAGACTAGAAGGTTAGCCGGGGAGGGGGAAGAAAACCAGCAGGAATCAGGCCCGTCAGGAAGGACCCTGCAGCTGTGACAACCTCCCTGACATCCACAAAGACTGTGCTCAGTAAACTTTCAATAAACAATGGCCGGCAGGGGAGAGAGGAAGGTTGGCGTGTTTTTTCTGTCGTAACAATTATGGCACAGTCCGGTCCTCCTGCCACAGCTCAACGACGCACCTGCCCAGAAGCGCCGCAGGAACTCCTCTGCACGGGACGCCCCTTGTCCCCTGGCGCTCACCCGGCCTCACTGGGTGCCCGCTGACCGTGCTGCGTCCCTCCCCCGCCAGCCGGCACCCGTCAGCCTGGGGCTCCCGCCCGGCCAGCGTTTCAAGCAAACTGCCAGAATGAGACCTCTGTATGGGCACGAACCAAGGATGAGTGACAATCTCTCTTGAAACACCAATTACAGAAGAGCTACCACGGGGGTAGACTGTTACCTCCACCAGTGGATCTACTCTGGGGTTTGACCTCGGGAAAGACCACATACTGGCAGCTTTCTGTATTCAGTGACTCCGAACAGCCTCTACCCTGGACAATTCACCTTCAGCTCCAGCCGAAGACTCGAAAGACTTCTAAATCACCCATTTATCGTGGAAAGGAAGAGCAGTTACGGAGCATTAGCCAAGAAAAGCCACTAACACTCAAGTGCCCAGGTGTGCACGAGGCACAGCCCGGCTCCGGAAGAAGAGGCACCGATGGCAGGTCACCACTCAGACTCTCAGGCACCCTGGCTTGCCACCTGCCCCCCAGTGGACAGCAGGAAAGACACCCAGCAGAAGAGAAGACGACCACCACCTCTGCAAAGCCCTGCTCGCTGTGCTCACCTCTCCCTCTGGCTCGGGCCTGAGCAGCCACGAGGGCCAGGGTCTGAGGGCTGCGGAAGCCTCGGGGCTGGGGATGGCAAAGCGGGAGCCACGTGTTCTCTGTGGATCCTGACAGTCCTGCCGACCACAAGATAGGGCTTATAAAAATCACGGCCGCAGGGGCTTGCTGCCACCGTGTCCGTGTGGTGACCGGGGCCTGCCGGTCCGTGCCAGACACCGGGGTTTCCGCCCCTGCTCTGGGCTTCGGCAGATACAATGGCTGCTTCCTGCCGGCTCCAGGCTGTCAGGTCTCGAGTCTGGTGAAGGACTGGGACCCCGTTCAAAGGAGTGGCCAGGTTAGCGGCCAGTCTTGACGAGTGCACTCAGGACTGAAAAACAGACACCCCTAGGACCAAATGCTCTGAGCCCTTTACCTCACTCCCACGTGCCCTTGCTGGGTCAGCTCAGAGAACCCCCTTCCCAGGACGACCTGGTGCCAGGAACACCACATAGACTGGGGCAGAAACAAACTCCATCCGAGGCCTCTCTGTCGCATCTGGACATAGAGCTGGGCTGGGCGGCCAGCCAAGCAGCACCCACGGTCGTCACTTCCACGGTCACTCGGCCCAAATCAAAACTCGTCACTTTGATCAGAAGTTGCCTCCGGCCTCCTCAGCCCTGGTGTTGCACAGCTTGGCTGTTAGAAATGGCCAGAGAAACAGCATGATGGCTCCCTCAGACTGAAGCCGGGCTGGGGGCTGGGGACCATTCAGAAGAAGGCTCGGGCTCCCCACTCCCTGCTTTCTCAGGGCAGGTGCTCCCCCAGCCACGCAGAGATGGGCCCCGAGGTCTGGGCAGGAAGGCTGGGCGGGCCTGGGCTCCTCAGGAAAGAGAACAAAGGAAGCTGTGTCCAGAGTCCTGGAGACGGGGCTCCAGACAGGAGCGAGAAGAGCCCAGCCTGTTAGCCTCCCGGCCCAGGCAGCTGCTGGCTCTGGCCTGGAAGTTCATTCGGTGGATCCTTACCCATCTACAGGGTCTTCTCCAGCATCTGAGCTTTGCACATCGATGGGATAAAGGAAAATTTAAACTTAATACAAAAGGTGTGGGTCAAACCAATAACCTGCCCCAGATAAACTCTGAGCAAGGAAAAAGGGGGAAAAATTAGAAAAAGCCCAAATCCAGGTTTGGTTTGGTTTGACGCTTTCTTCTTGGCCAGTTCTCCTCTCCTACAAAGCGCCTTTATCCACTGGGGCTGTGAGGTTTACACCGACAAAGCTGCTCCAATGGCAAAGGGCTTACAGGAGGGAGACCAGGCTGCCCAGCTGGGAGCCGCGGGGGGAGGTGCAGAGGGCGCGGGCACCCAGCCTCCACGGAAGGCAGCCTGGCACAGATGTCCCAGAGCCAGAGGGGACAGGGAGGGGACACAGGACCTGTCACTGGGCCACCGACTGAGCAGGATGAAGAGCCACATCTCAGCCTGGAAAACACGCTGAAACTTCCTGGTGGGACAGCCTCCCAACAGCCAGCAGGGACGCCGCCATCCGTGCACGTGGGAGCCCACAAGCTACGGGCCAACACTGCCCAGCTCCCACACCCGTGCTTCTGGAGAACAGGGAGCAGAGCCTCCGGTCGAGGCTCTGGTCCACCGGGACAGCTGCCAGTCACTCGGCCAGGCCAGGCCAGGAGCCCTAAGTCACATGGCGCTACCAAACCCCAAATGCCAACAGGGCCATCCAACCAGGGTGCTCTATTTCAGGAACCTGAGACTCCTGAAAATGAGAACTCTCCTCTCAAATCAAAAAGCTCCTTCAGAGTCAAGAATTAAAAGAAGTAATCAAAATATGCAAGGTATACGTATCATAAATCCAGCTTTCCTTTATCAGAATGATGATCTGGTTTCAACTATTACAACTGAATCTACAACCCCATGTAAAAAATAGAATAAACCAAACATGTGCCTGACATAGGCGACAAGAAACACTGAAATATTTTATGATCTCTGACAAGTCCAAGTGCATACAGAGAAGAGGGGAAAGATGAGTCACCTTATACATGAGGCTTTCCTTCAGGAGAGACTAACCCCACCTCTAAACTCTGCAGCCCAGCGACCTGCTGCAGGCAACAGCCCAGACACCCTTTGAGGGCGTGCAAAACCACGGTGATCTGTCTTGTGACAGGACACGGGCCGGACTGCCGCGGAGCCACGCCCCCACGCATTCCGGGCCGGGGTGGGTCTCTGTGCCAGGTTAGCTGTGTTCCCCAAGCACCCAGAGCCCTGGGTACCGGCTCGATGACCCAGTTGCCTCTCTCGCCATCACCTCGGACCGTGGTTCTTGTGAGCGTGAGGCTTCAACCCCACTATTTGCTCCGGTCCAAGACCGGAGACTGGTCCAAGTTGAGGAGGAGGGACTCTCTAGTCTGCTGGGGTCCTTACCTGGGCAGTCTTGCCTTTCGTGGGCAGGGCTAACAGATGTGAGGAAAACATGCCCAGGCGGGCAGGCCTGTAGCTTCTCCACCTTCTAAAGACAGGCTGGGCCGAGGCTGGGTCGTTATGTCCTGCGTGAACTTGTCCACCATGTAATTTATTTTTTGTGTTGCTGTTTGGGTTGTAAATGAAATATGAATACAAATTAAATAACCAAGAAAATCCTCTCTAAAGCCCTTTGGCCAGTGCGGGGCTCTGGGAGTGAGGCTGGCAGGCTGGTGTCTCCCACACTCAGATGGTTTCCGGCCGGGCCGCCTCGGCTGCGCCCTGGGTACCAGCATTCCCTCCAACACAGACTCCCTTCCCCAGCAGCCTCGTGCCACCGCGAGCTTCCTCAGGTGCATACCTCAGGTGGACATTTTCTTAGTAAAGTATCAAATGACTATCTGTACTGTATCTACGTGTATATATAAATTAACCTGCATGTACACAAACCCTAAAGGAAAAATTCCAGGTGTCTGTTCTCTGAAGGAAGGCAATCACCACTGGCAATTCTGCCACGAGGTCTTTGGGGCTCAACAGCTTCACACTCAAATGGAAAGGACACAAACACAGGGCGCAGAACTTGCCAAGTACTCACACGTCACGTTTCAAACTACTCAGAGGTGGTCCCTACTGGGTCTGGGAGAGCAGAAGACACTTTAGAAGAACAGGGGTTCAAGAGCTTTTGCGTTCCAGAGAAAGCCCTCTCCTGGAAGGCGGAAGTTGCCACCACCATCTTTGCCCTTGGAGCCAAGCCAGCAAGGTGCCCCACCCAGTTCATTTCCTGGGTGGGGTTGGGGAGAAGGACAGCGCCCACCCAACCACCAGTCTGTCGTGCCCGAAGCCCCTGCCCTCTCTCTGGGGCTGCTTCGTGCTGCTCCCCCAGCCTGGGCCCAGAAGGAGCATGCTCACAAGGCCTTGGTGCCTGGGGAAGCAGGTGGGTCTCCAGGAGGTGAGCGGAGCTGCTGGGGACATGACGACTTCTGCCTGCCCCAGTTTCACCTGCTGCTCTCAGAACAGCCAGTTTTGGGGGGAAATAGGGATTTACCAAGTAGTACAGCTTTGTAAGCAAGTTTCCCAGTGTTTCAAAAGCACCTTTTCCCGTGATTTTTCTCAATTAAAAAAAAAAAAAATGGTATGAGGATTAGACTAAAGTAGACAGAGATCTTGTTTCCAAATCTGGGGATATAAATGCAGAACTTAAGAAACATCCTCACAAGGGCCTGTCCGGCGATGCCCAGCACCCAGCCAGGCCCTCGGCACGGGGGCCATGAGCACTCTGGGTGCCCGGCCAGGAACCCCCATCTGCAGGTCTCTGTGCCGAGGACCACCCCAGCTCTGATCACTCCTGGCTCCCCAGATCCCAGAGCGTTCGCTCTTACTCCCGGCTGCTGGAGTCTTCCTTCCCAGACCACTGGCGGCCTTGAAGGGAGCGTGGGTAAGGGCTCCAAAGACCACAGCAGCCAAAGCCACACGCTGGGGCCGTGTACTTCTACGTTCAGCCCTGCGCGTTCCTTTTCTCCATTTTCCTCTCACTCTCAAAACATCTAGATTGAAAAACAACAACAAAAACGTGGGCACATCAGTCAGTACATCAGGCTTAACAACAAATACTTCTTGAAGTTGACCCGATAACTGAAAAGTTCTGGTCCGTGATTCAAACTCCCACGAGCAAGCAGGATGGCTGGAACCACTTAAGAGCTTGGTGAGCAAACACTATCAGGTGAGCAGTCCCATTTCCAGACCGCAGGCGGGCGCCGGGCCGATTTGCCCCCAGGCCAGGGCAAGGCGGACAGGCCCCAGTGTGGCCACCCCGGGGGCAGCTGCCTCGGCAAACGTACTGCCTTCCCCGAGGAGCGGAGGGTGGGGGGTCGCTAGGGCTTCAGCCCCAGGTCCGCGCGTGCTGGGGACACGTGGCCCCCGTGATCCCCAGAGAACAGACACAGGGCATTTTCAGAGATGATGTAAGACAATGTGCTGCTGGCTAACCAAAGTTCCTATGTAATGACAGTGCTTATGATCTGATGTTTTATTAAATGTGTATAGGCAGACTTATAGGTTAAAAACTTGACTCCGTGTCTATGAATATGAAATCTGAACTATTTTATCCGCTGGAAGGCAAAGGAAAGGTCCTACATGGCGGGAGGAAGAACTGACAAGCACTCGACTCTCCCTGCTGGCGCGCTCGGTGGGGGCAGGCCGGCGGGGGCAGCGGGCTCGGGGCTGGCGGCGAGGCCTCCAGCTCTCGTGCGTGCCCGGCCGGCGGCGGCGGCGGCGAGCATGGGAACAGCACGTGGCAGCGGAGAGTCGGGTTGAGCCCCTCCACGTGGCAGGCGGCATCCCGGACTGGCCAGTCCTTCGAAGTAATCTGTTCAAATTCAGTCTGTTTCTGAGGAGAAAACACAGGCCTGTCACCTCCACGTCAGCCGCCACTCCTGTACAGCACTCCCCCGGCAGCCCGGTCCTCGCCACACCAGGGTGGTAGCACTGGCTCTGGGGCCCTGTTCCTGCCGGAGCCCCGCCTTCCTGCCAGCCCCTTCCCAGGGACTGGGAAGAAGGACGTGCCGCTTAAGGACGGGATGCGGGTTACATCGGGCAGGGCCTGCAGACCCTCCGGCGGCCCAGTGCCGCCGAAGCCCAGGCCACTGCTGGCCCGGAGCCCTGTCCTCATCCGCCCCGTCCTGCCCTTCCCCACCGGCTCTCCAGAACCCATGTTCTAACACCACAGCTGCGGGGGCTAGTGTCCCCATTCTACTGATGGCCTCTACCCCTGCGCTCAACGTCGGCGGGGCTGTTCAGAGGCCTATGGTCCGTGACGCTCGCCGACCTGGCCCTTGCACGGAGGCTGGCCATGGAGAAACCAAGTACAGACACACAGACAAGCGCTTCCTGAACCCAAGGGTTATCTGCTTCAGACAGAAGAGGGGGAGGCCAGAGTGCCACGCCTGCTCTGTCCCGCCAGGGACATCACACTTGGCCTAGTGGTGGATTTAGGAGCAGAGGGGGGTCGGTGCTTATAACTCAAACCCACTCGCCCCACTTCCAGGTTAGCTTTTTCTTTTCTTTTTTTTAAAGGTTTTATTTATTTATTTGAGGGAGAGAGAATGAGAGAGAGAAAGAGAGCACATGAAAGGGGGGAGTGGCAGAGGGAGAAGCAGACTCCCCACTGAGCAGGGAGCCCGACCTGGAACTCGATCCTGGGACTCCAGGATCATGACCTGAGCCGAAGGCAGTCACCCAACCGAGCCACCCAGGCGCCCCTAGCTTTTTTCTTTTTATTTGTGATAAAATATATGCAACATAAAAGCTACCATTTGAACCATTTTTGAATGTACGATTAAATGGCTTTAAATACATTCACAAGGTTGTGTAACCACCACCCTATTTCCAGCTACCCAAGAATATACTTCAGTGAAATTTTAATTTAAACAAACAGAAAAAGAAATTTGTTCTAGTTGCCTGCAAGCCAGGGGTGGGCATTCCCCAGGGGCACGCCCAGTGCTGGAGAAGGTGCCCGAGGCAACCAGCCCTGTGAAGCTAGTCCTGTTTCCTGGAGCCCACCACCACCTGTGAGGTCCTCACTGACTCATGGGGGCCTGGAGGAAAACAAGGTCAAGTCAGGAAATACCGGCCCCAGAACCAACTTCTAAAGGTCCCCAAATCGGAGAATCTGAGAATCCAGATGCTCAGTTTGCATGGACTCCTGGCCATGCTGTGATGAGGCCTCTAAGGAGGCAAACACCCAAGGACAGGGAGGGAAAGGGGAGGCTGGGAACCCGGGGGTCAGGACCCGATACCGACAAAGTGACTTGTCTGTGGCTTTAAAGCTATCTTCGATAAATTATCTTCTAAAGTTTTCTTTCAAGTGCTAATACCTGGGATATGATCCAGAGAAACTGAGGAACAAAACTCAAGCTTTTGATTCCATCTGTCTAAGAGGGAAGATGATTTTCCATTTCTCCAAACCAGAAAGAGCAACAAATGCAAATTACAGGACTTTCACCATTTAAATAAAAGCACTTGCCACATCTAAAGGCAATCCAAGCTCCTCTTTCCTTTTGCTTGCCATTCTGAGTTGAATTTCCTCAGCAGTCCTGTTGCTCTCTCCTACCGGGGGGTTGTGGTTCTGTCTGACTCTGATGGTGCTTTGACCTATTCTCCCACTGCTAAGAAGTATCTAGAAAAGCTTGCACCTTTGTAGGCCCACTATGTTCCTTCCCCTAACAACACAGGAAACACATCATAGTGTAGGTCATATTCCATTATGCCCTAATGGCTTCTGCTGCCAGGTGCCCCTGGAGCAGCCGGCCACTTGGTCCCACTGCCAAGGAGCTTAGGGACAGCAGCTGCCCCCGTGGCCCCTCAGGCCAACCCCCCCCCCGCTCTCCCCACAGCGGTTGGTCCTGGCCCCCGTGGGCTCCTTACCCAGCTGAAGTCCAGCCTGGGGACTTGGGGCGTCAAAGGGCTCCGAGCTGGCCTCAGGGGCGCCGGGCTCCCACGACTCACTGTTTTCCGACACCTCCGAATACGCGTCCCCCATCCCTTGGTGAATGGCTGCAGGCTCGCCGGCGCCCTGGTCCTCGCTGCCCGCGTCCGCCACAGCCCGGGTCTCCTCGCCCATTTTCTCCGCAAACCATTGCTTGACCTGCTGGGAGCTCATCTGGGTCTTGTTGCAGAGGCTCTGCACGTCCCCCTCACGCAGTGTCTTGTGCGTCAGGTAATAGTCCTGCAGCAGCTCCCGGTTACCAGGGGTGACGACCAGCAGCCCTGGAGGGAAGTTGCCCCGCTTATAGTCTTCATACCACTTGAGCTGGCCGTTCTTCAGGGCGTACCTGCTGTCCCCGAACCAGCGCACCACCTCGGGCCGCGGCAGGCCGGTCTGGGCCATGATGGCGTCATAGTCCTGGGTGCTGGGCCACCGCGTCTGCACAAAGAGCTGGCGCAGCAGGTGCCGCTGCTGGGCCGTCTTCTTGCAGCTCGCTTTGCCAGGGGGCTGCTCGGCCGGCTGGCCGGGCCCATCCTCTTCGGGCTCGCAGGCCCCCGGCCCCGGGAGCTCACTCCTGCCGTTGGCCCCATTGGCCTCGGTGACGCGCAGGTTCTTAAGGTTAATTTTGATGGGGCTGACCTTGCGCTCTGCCAGCGCATGGCTGCCGAGCCCTTCCAGGGGGCCGTCTTCCCCGGGGACCCTCGGCCCCCCACCCAGCTCCTCCTCTCCCGCCTCGTCCTCCTCCTCCTCTGGAGCGGTGCCCTCGTCAGCCCTCTTGGGGTCCTCGGCGCTCACTCTCTTCCGCCTCTCCGAGAACCAGCTGTCAATCTCTCTCCGGGTCATCTTGGTTTCAGTCCTCAGGCGGTCCAGCTCCTCATCGGGAGGAAGGGGGTTTTGTGCAAAACTGCTCTCCAGGGCTCTGAGCTGCTCGGGGGCTCGCTCCTTGTACTTGGTTGGCGTGAAGTCAGGGGTCTGGTGCCAGGCCTGGCGTCTGGCGGAAGGAGGGGTGGCCAGGGTGGCGGCCGGTGGGACGCAGGGCACCTCGGGGGCCTTGGCCAACGACGGGGAGAAGGGCGCCTCAGGCCCGGGGTCGATGACGATAGCGCCAGGGTCACCGGGCAGCACGGCCCTGGAGCCCTTCAGGTTCCGGCAGTGGTACCTGCGGTCGCTGAACCACTTGCGCACCTCTCTGGTGCTGAGGCCGGTCACTTTGGTCAGATGCTCCACCTCGCTCTGCCCCGGGAACTGGTTCCGACAGAAGCTTCCTTTCAGGGCAGACAGCTGTTCGTGAGACTTCTTGTTCTTGTAGATGCTGGCGTCAAGGAAGGCCTGGGAGGTGATGCTGGGGCAGGCCGTGAGCAGCGACTGGGCCGCGTTGACCACCTTCACTGCCGATGTGGTGTTGGAGCACACCGTGTTCACGGCTGCCACGGTGGGCTGCTTGGGCACCGAGGTGACGGCGGGCGGCAGGGATGAGCTGGGCGCCTGCAGCCCGTTGGCCATCAGCGGCTGAGTGACCAGCAGGCCGCCCGCCGTGCCCTCCGGCTGCCCTACCACGTGGCCCGGGAGGGCGGCCTGGATGAGGTGCTGGACACCGCCAGCGTTGGCGACCAGGGGGGTGTTGAGGACGGTGATCGTGGGCTGGGGTACGGACTGAATGACCGTATTGAACATCTTTTTCCGGGCGTCCTCAATCTCCTCAGGGGACCAGCTGATGCCCTGCTTCAGCCTCTGGGCTGTGAACCAGATCTTGAGCTGTTCTTCTGGATACTTGGTGACCACAGTCAAATAGCAGAGCTCAGCTTTGGTTGGGTAGGGGAACTTGTGGAACGAGTTCTTCAGAAAGCTGTTGGAGTCCATGGCCGCATTGTAGGTGGGAATGCTGCTCAGGGGGATCATCACCTTGGGGAGGGACTTGGACGTGGGCAGCGGCTGATGGCCGTGGTGCTGGGCATGCAGGGGGGGCGGCTGCTGCAGGGGGAGGAACTGCGCTATGCCAGCCGGCAGAACCGGCACCGCTCCCAGCAGGGGCCCATTGGCCGCATGCGGCCCTTTGGCCGAGTTGGTGGCTGGCTGACTGACCGGGACTGCCCCATTGACAAAGGGGTGGTCCCCCTCCTTCGCCTCGGTCTCCCCGGCCGATGGGTTTGGTAAGGCTGTGTCACCCACAGGCTGACTGGGGATGTTCTCCTTGAGTGTATGAATTTTTTTGGCTTCGGCTTTGCCTTTCATTATCTTCATGATTGGAGTTTTGGTAATGATGATTTCGGCCTGTCCGTCGGTCCCTTCGGCGTTGGGCTCACTCGATAGGTCAGGAGTACAGGTGCTCTCGGGGACGCTCTGCTCCACGACCACATGATTGTCTGGCTTGGCCACATTCCACACAAAGCTGGCTTCCCCCGAGTGACTCTTAGCATTGTGCAGAGAAAGCCCCTCAGGAGTTTTTGCCAGAAAACTGCATTCAGTGCATACAAAAGTTGGATCCTTATTAAAATCTGTGTGCTCTAAATTCATGTGTCCCACAAACTGGGTTATGTCCTGGGCTCTGAAATCACAGTATTTGCAGGAATACGAATAGCCGTCCAAAGTGCTCCGGTGCCCGTTGGCCAGGGCGGGGCCGTCGGTACTGCTCGACATCTGCGCAGCCTCGCTGCTGCCAGCAGGCACTTCAGGGGGCAGCTCCTGCTGGGGGCCTTCGGGTAACGCCTCGGCGGGCTGGGCCTCCGCACTGGCCTCCTGCAGCACCACGGTCTTCACAGGGATCATGCACGGGGTGGTGGATTTCCTCTTGCTGGCCATGGCGACAATCACTCTGGCTGATCAGCGGGTGAGAGCTCGTCCCGTCAAGGGCCTCACAGTGTAAGTTCTAGCTGCTCCATGCGGGCCAAAGAAACAGTTTCCAAGGGCAGTTTTTTCGGTTGTTTGCAGGAAGCAAGTTTTTCCTATTAAACCTAAGGAGGAAGAAAAAAAATGATTATGATCTCTTAGGCTCTGCCGGTGTGCTTCCAGACACCCAGACCCAGCCCGCAGCTTGCCTTCTATCATTGGGGCCTTTTCTCAACAAGTTCACCAGCAGCTTGAATGTGCAGCCCCTCAAACACCAACAAAGTAGTGCCCTGAAGAATGACCTGAGGATGTTCCAATACCACTTGATAGACTTAAGACATATGTTTTGTTTTCTTTCCCTCTGTATTCTTGTATTAAGTGACTCAGATTCAAAAACCAAGCAACAACAATAACAACAAAATAATCCTCTTCTGGATCTCCAAATTAATTCTGACCATGTCAGAGTGAGAACAAAACATCCTAGTGTAATTCTTGTTTAAATGTTTGGGCCAACAAGGGTTTTTCTTTTCATAGCCTTCCCACATATGAGAACAAGACACCGCCTCTGCCTCTCCCAAGTCAGGCCCAGAGGCCAAAGTCAGCTGCAGTGTGTGCAGTGGGAAGGGGGGGTGGGAGGGGGGGCGCCACCGGAGCCGGGGGTCTCTCCCCGCAGCCTTTCCCTGCCTGCTGCCCTATCACACCCATTCCCAGCACTGAGGAGGGACGGCCTTAGAGTTACTGGCTAGACCCCGGACCACTGTCCCTCAGGCGGCGCCCCAGGTCAGAGGCACAGGGGATCCACAGACCCAGTCTGTGGTACAGCAAGTTGTACATTCCCTCTCTGGGTGCAGCACCTCAACCTGTGGCCTCACCCCAGGTAGGCCTTCTACACATGACCTTGTATTGTGCTGACCTTTTTATTTCCTTTGGTGCCTTTATTATTCCTTAAAAAAATTTTTTTAAAATCTTTGATCCGTTTGAAATTTATTTCAAACACTGGGGTGATCGGTTTATTTACATGTAAAATATATTCTTCCATGAGATGCCATGAGAAAAGAGTTTCTGTGGCCCCTATTATTAACATAATATCACCATAATCATCATTACCTTTCTTTTAGCAAATTGTAATGCTAATAATGACTAAAATAATAGTAATTCTAATTGCAAAATCACGTTATCATCAGTGTTTAGATTTGATATCAAAGTGTGAAGAGAGGGGCACCTGGGTGGCTCAGTCATTAAGCGTCTGCCTTCGGCTCCTGGGATCGAGTCCCACATCGGGCTCTCTGCTCAGCGGAAAGCCTGCTTCTCCCTCTCCCTCTCTCACTCCCCCTGCTTGTGTTCCCTCTCTCGCTATGTCTCTGTCAAATAAGTAAATAAAATCTTTAAAAAAAAATGTGAAGAGAATTAAAATATTTCTATTC